GCACGCCCTCGCTGCCGCCGCCGTCGGTCTGCGGTGTCCGCCGGCGCGCAGGCGGGTGAGGCGCTCTCGGGGCCGCGTCCCCAGAGTGGGTCTTTGTGAAGGAGAGGACCCTCCCTGAGAGAAGGGGAAAGGAGGACACTGTTTTAAAGGCGGGTCATTTCTCAGGCAGATGTTTTAGCAGAGAAAATATGTCAGAAGTTAAGGAGCACGAGGTTGATTCTTTTAAATTATCCTGCCTTGGTTCCCTTGGGCGGTGGTCGCGTGAGCATACCTCAGGGAGACGAGTCCTGTGAAGTGCAGGTGCAGCGCTGTGCCGGAGGACGCTGTGTGACTTTAGGAGCAAGTGAACATTCTCTGAGTCTCAGCCTCCGCCGCTTTAAAATGAGCATTAACATGTAAGGATCAGAAATCATGATGCCGTCCCCTTAGGATAATTTAAGGAGGATTTGTAAAGGCCCTACATGTGTCGGAGGGAGGGTGCAGGGGAACAGCAGAGTTGGTGTTTTATCCTGGAGCTGGTGATGGTGGAGTTGCTTCCAACCCCTCGACCCAGAGGGTAAAGGAGGGGCGGTCACCAGGACCCGGAGAGAGCATTACAGACTAGAGGTGTGACCTTCAGTCTGGGGATTTGAGAAGGGCAGGGGGTCAGCGTCCCGCCCTGCTGCTCCTCCTCCAGCCTCTGGCTGAGGGCGAGGTAGTGAGGGTAGCCTTGCCGGGTAGGCTCTTGAAACAGCAGGGTGGAAAGGGGTCCTAGAAAAGCAAGTGGAAAATCCCCAGCATGCGGGATTACCCTTCCTAGGGTTGTTGTAAGGAATACATTTTAAAATTTCTGTAGAAATAATTTAAAGGTGGCTCCTGGCAAATATAATGTGTCTGGAGCAGGAGAACTGAGGTAACACTTCATAGAACAAAGTGGAGCCCGTGCGCGCACCAAGAGCCTCTCAGCATTTTTAAAGCTCCGTCCTGTGGCGGTGAGCTGCGTCCTGCCCTGGACCCTGGGCTTTCACCGCCCCCGCCCTCTATGCTCCGCTGAACTGGGACCGGGGAACAGATGCTCCTAGGAGGAGTTCTGAGTTCATTTTTCTGAGCTCCCGCGGCACAGTAACAACCAGCGCTGTCCAGCAGAACTTTCTGGAATGGTGGAAACGTTCTCATCTGTGCTGTCCAATCTGGTACCCACTGGCCACATGTGGCTGTGAGCACTGGAAATGTGGCTTGAGGGACTGAATGTTTATGTTTAAAGTTTTTAATTTAGGGGGGATGGGTATAGCTCAGTGCATGCCTAGCATGCAGGAGGTCCTGAGTTGAATCCCCAGTACTTCCATTAAAAGTTAAATCAGTTTTTAAAAATATTTTAAAAATTTTTAGTTAATTTAAACTTAGCACACGTGGCTATTAATTACCTTACTGGACAACACAAGCATAGTGTTAGGAGGGAAAGAAAGACCAGAGAGCAGTGTGAGACGAAGCTGGACTTGTTCGCCTGGCAGGGGAGAGCCATGCATGTGCTCAGCAGGTTTTTCAAACAGAAACTGAAGAGGCAAAAAGGAGGGAGTACTCCAAGATTCAGAGTGTCAGGATTCAGAGTTCAGGTCTCTGGTTGGCTTTCCAGTTAACTGATCACCTCTTCCATTGGTCTCCTTCAGGTTTTGTGTTGAGAAGCCTGGTTTTCAGCACAGCTGGGGACAGATTGCACTTCTTTTCCAGTTTCTTGACTTGAAACCTTACATTATTGATTTTAGTTCTTTCCTCTCCACTGATAGAAGCATTCAGAGCCAAGTTTCCCTCTAAGCAGTGCGTTAGCTGCTCCCCGTGGTTGTGGGTAAGTTGTACTTTCATTGTCATTCAGTTTGAAATCTTTTTAAATTTCTGCTTGATTTCTTTTACTTACTGAATTGTTCAGAAGTTTTGTTTAATTTCCAGGTAGTTGGGGTTTTCCTAGATACATTATACTTACTGACTTCCGTTCTGCTGCGGTTAGAGAATACACTCAGTATGTGTGATTCCTGTCCTTTTAAACTTACTGAAACGTCTCGTATGAGCCACGGTACGGTCATAGTGAGTGTCCCACTGCACCTGCAGACAGTGTAGGTTCTGCAGTTACTGGGGGTGCTGGCCTGTGAGCGCCAGCTAGATCAAGACTGTTGGTAAGCGCTGTTTGGATTTTCTTGTCTCGGACTGTCTTTGATTGCTTGTTGTGCATTTCCACTTCTTCCAGAGAGAGCAGTGTTACAGTTTCCTACCATCATTGTGGAATGATCTGTTTCTCTTTAATTCTATCAAATTTTGCTTTCTATATTTTGAATCTCTTCCTAGGCTTATGCACATTTTTGCCTTTTCAGTTTCTGTCTGAGGCAGAACTTTCTGGAATGGTGGAAACGTTCTCATCTGTGCTGTCCAATCTGGTACCCACTGGCCACATGTGGCTGTGAGCACTGGATGCCTTATTGCCAATTTGCCTTTTGTTAAGGAGCCATGGCATCTTTGAGGCTTTTCTCAGCAAGCCCCCGGGCCGTGTTGGAGGGTCTGGGATGCTGGACCTTGCGGCCCGCCTCCCCCCGGCTGTTCTCGCTCTGCTGTGTGGACTGCGCCAAGCACCAGGAATCCCCCGGAAAGAAACTGCTCTCTGAGAAAAAACTGGTGAGACCTCTGTCCTTGAAGGAGTTTGCCTGCAGTACCCTTGGAAGGCATAGGACGTGTGTGAGCTCTCATGGTCTTGTCTCAGTGAGGTTATTGAAGGGACGCACGGAGCGCCTTGAAAATGAGGAGCTCAGGTGAAGGCCCGTGGGTGCCAAATGCTCTGTGAGCTGAGAACTACAGCGGACCGGGGACGGGGCTCCAAGCGCCAGAAGTGCCGAGCGGCTCTCCCTTCGCCAGGAGGGCACGCGGGCGCTTGTTCCCCAAGCCTGTGTCTGAAACCCTCCTGTATGTGAGTGGCCTTTAAGTTACGACACCCGGGGACATAGGCCTTTCATTTTATAGTTCTCAAAGCCTTACACGTTTTTCTGTTCTGTTTGCCAGAACCTTCTATTTAAGATGTGAATGATCTTTAATTGAATTTAAGGAACTGCGTGTTTGTGGCCCGCTTTGTCTCTGCCTGAGGGGGGCTCCGGATAAGCCTCTTGAGGACGACAGCACTTGCTGTGGGAAAGCCCTTGGCAGTTGGTGGGTGAGGCTCAGATCTCAAGTTTCCCCACGTTTTGTCTCTTCCTGGACGTAGAAATTGGGTTGAAGTTTTACCTTCCGTGCAGTGCTCATCAGTGGTGCCTTCTTCACGTCCAGTTGATTTCAATTATGCTCAGAATTAGACGCTGAGTTTCTGAAATAGTAATTCATGGTTTTTCCATGTGGTGGTGCTAGAGCATCTTAAGAAGTACTGTGTACTTCTAAAAAAATCTACTTAAGGAGTAGTGGATGGAAATCCCACTGCCCTGGGCCCCACCCCGTCTCCCTGTGCGCACCTGCCAGAAGCAGGCAGGGACACCGAGCCGGGGCGCTTCCCCGCGGCTGCGTCCTGGCACGCCAGGCAGCTGGACTTGTGAGTGTTTGTTGAACGCTCACCTGGTTAGTTCCAGACGTTTGGGTGGGTTGTGTCTCCCTTAGGGACCCGGAGACGAGCTTGCTCTCAGGTACGGGTCTGCGTTACCACATTTAACGAGCAAACACGTCCTGTTTAGTCCTTCCCAGCTGGGAGCCTGCTGATCCCAGGGACTCACCCTCACCCTCGTTGTCTCCTCCTGGGAGCAGAGCTCTCTCTCCGTTAGTAAAGACCTGTTAGTTCACAGATGTGTTTCTCTTTGAAAAAAGCTGGGAAGACACTTTACTTAAGGAGTATTTCCTCAACCGTGTTTTATTTAGGTTAGTGTCAAGTCCGTCACTGGGGTGTGTCTTCCGTGCTGACGACGTTTCACATCTGCATGTTTGATTTAGATTTGTCTACAAATAGCTGTGACTTGTGGGGACTCTTTCTTGTATTTGCGTTTTAGGAGACAGTAGTGATGTTAATACCATTAGCTTCTAATTAAAGCCTGTCACAGGTAAAAAAGGGACATTTCAAATGGCTGCTTGGTTCTTGAAAGGACTACAGGGCTGATCAGACCAGTGCACCTTATACTCTCTGCAGAAAAGGCACTTTGTGGACCACCGCCGCGTGCTTGTCCGTGGGGGGCGCGGAGGCGATGGGGTGACCTGCTTCCACAGCGAACCCCGGAAGGAGTTTGGAGGCCCCGACGGTGGCGACGGAGGCAGCGGCGGCGCCATCATCCTGAGAGGCAGGTGCCTGGGGTGGCGCGGGGCAGTGGCCGTGTCTGCATGTCTCGGGGGATGTTCCCACCTTCTCATCCCAACAGGAATTTGAATTCAAAAGTTGATGTGGACGCATCCTTGTATTAAATTCTGTGGATGTTCACAACTAAATAATCCACTGGAAACCAGTGTGGATGGTTTGCTTGTTTTTAATTTCAGGAGCGTGAGGTAGTTTACTTCTGGGGATCCAGCATTCTGGTTCTGTTTGTCAGAGGCTTCAGTCGGCTCCTGACTCAGTGAGGGCTGAGGGCATGATGGCTTCCGGCATCAGCAAACCAGTAAACCAGTACACCAAATAGCCACTCCCAGCATGATAAAGTACAGCTAGTTTCAGATTGGTAATGACATCATGGGTAATTTAGAATGTTTTGGAAATTGTAGTATTTTTTTAAAGTAAGAATTTCACTTTTTAAAAAGATCACACTACACCACGTTCCCATGTGCGTTCTGAACGTTCTTGGACTGAACGAGAGAAACTTAACCACGGGGGATGGTTCTGCTGTGAGCACAGAGGAAGGTGACGCTCCTTGCTCTGACTTCTAGCTGACCGACAGGTGAAGTCGCTGTCATCGGTCCTGTCGCGGTACCAGGGACTCGACGGGGAGAATGGTGGCAGGAAGAACTGCTTTGGGCGAAGCGGCGGGCCCCTGCACATCCGGGTAGGTGGCTGCAGAGCCTGCTGTCCCGTACCGGCTCCCAGGTCCCGCCATGTGGTCAGGGTGGCCTTCCCTTGGCTTGAAATACGCCTGACCTCCTCAGAGCAACCCTGGACAGGACTTTGTGCTGATTTCATACCACATGCGTGTGTGACCAGCTCACAAAATCATCAGACAATTGGGTTTCACAAAGGGGACCCATGAGC